ACGCGATCTTCGACAGGCCCGTGGCCGTGGGAGGCAAGGTGAGCACATCCCTGTCGGTGTCGTAGCAGCTCAGCGATGAGCAGGAACCCGACTCAACGCTAAGTGTGAGAGAGTCAGTGTCGTTTCAGGCGTAAGTTTCATCTCTTAGTTTCTAATTAGTAGCGAAGGTGCTGAGTCTCAGATTGTGGTGTGTGGGTCAGCATCATCTGGGAACTTACTAGAAATGCAAATTCGTACGGACCTGTTGAAGCAGGAACTGCAGGTGATTCTGGGGCACGTTAAAGTGTGAGGACGGCTGAGCTAAGAAGGCTTGCCCCTTCGTCCAGGACAGTCCTCAGGCTTCGTTCTCCAGGTGCTTCAGGGAGCAGCTGGCGGCCTGGTCCTTGCCCCCGGGAGACAGAAGACAACCGTGCAGACCCGGCCGTGAGCTTCCGAGTGTGGGGTGAGGCTCAGAGGTCCTTGGGGAGTCCAGAGAATGACGACGCCCTCGGGTGTGGAGCCAGCCCTGCAGATGTGGCAGGAGGAAAACATTTTCTGGGACTGTGTCCGGAATTTTCTGGGTCACTGACTCCTTTGTGGATCTGAAAATCATCGATGTCCACTGAAAATGCTCACACACAACTTGGCGTGCAATTGCAGAGAATTTGCAGACCCTAGGTTTAAAGATAATCTTTAAGTTATAACCTTAAAGAAGTAACTATGGCAGCCAGAGCTGAAGGGGAACCTTTTCCTGTAGAAAACAGATGAGTAAAGGGCAGAGGGAGTGTAAACAGGCAGTTGTGAGGAGACTGCTGTGTGCTGGGCTGTGCTTGTTTCTGAGTGGAGGAGGTGGAGGGGCTCGGTCTTGAAAAATACCGTGAGTATGCAGAAGCAGCGTCTCTAGAGAAGGATCTGGGAGCTTCCTTGCGGGCTGTGCTTTTTTCGGCTCCCCGCTTCAGCGGGGCTCTCCTGCTGTACTGAAGACACATCCGTGAACCTCTCATCTCTGCAGGTGGAGGTGCGGCCCATGATGTTCGTGGCATTGACCTACGATCACCGGCTAATCGACGGCAGAGAGGCCGTGACTTTCCTTCGGAAGATCAAGGCAGCGGTGGAGGACCCCAGAGTCCTCCTACTGGACCTTTAGGAGGAAGTCCCACACCCGATGCATAGACCACGCAGGAACTGAAAACCGAAACCGGTCTGCTCCCTGCCCCCGCGTGGGTCCCGGGGAGCCTGGTGACAGACAGGCACATGCTGCGGGCCTCCAGCCGGAGAGCCGGGGCACTCTGTAACCAGCAGCCACAGGTCCTTTCTTGGTGTTCCTACCGGGCTCTCTCCCTCCCTGCTCCCCCTCTCAACACTCGAATATCTTATTTCCTTAGGCTTGAGGGAGGGAGAGAGCCTTAGCGGATGCTCGTTAATATGCCTGCGTCTCTTCATTAGCCCTCTGCAGAGGTACTTTTGCTTCTCCCCTGTGCCAGTATATATACTATAGGGAAACCACTGGGGACCACGTGATTAAGTTTCAGTCATTTGAAAGAGTATTCTCCCGGAGCTGCCTAGGAGAGTGCCGTGCCTCCCAAGCTCAGAGCAGCCTCTGCCCTGGCTGGCACATTCTCACCTGATTCCACCTGTGTGGAGGTTACTGACCACCGGCCAAGAGGTGCTGCTTTGCTTCTTAAATGCACCTTCATTCTCAGCTGTCATTGACTTCAAGATGCCTCTTCTACCTCTTCCAGGAAGCACAGGCCAGGGGTCTGGGGTGTTGGCAGTGTTGAGAGGCAGAGGGCAGATTCCCCCTGAGGTCAGAAGTTGTAAACGAGGGAACAGACCCCAGGCCTGCCCTCACAGACTCTGTCATAGCCTCACACCAGGAAGACCCGTTCTGGTACAGTCACGCACGGCTGTGGCTTTGTCAACCTCTCCAGGTTGCTAGGAACCATTCTAGCGCATTGTTCTCATTTAGAGCTGACTCCAGCACATCACGGCAGCGGAGGGTGGGCCGGAGCCTGGGAGAGACGGTGAAGGAGGCTGCCCGCGCACTGGCTCAGATCGACTTGAGCCTTCCACTCCCGTCGGTGTAAGCACGTGGACCGAAGGGGCCCTTCTGCTTCTTCCTGTATCCTGGCCCTTAGGAAGGGGCCTTCGCTCTTCCTGCAGAACGCAGGTCTGGGGGAGGACGGACCGTGGTGGAAACCAGCTGGGGCACCTCCGAGGTGCTGCCCGATGAGTCTGGACAGTCACTGGGATTCTTGGAACGTGGTTAAATGCACCCGTCTTGTGGAAAGCTACCAGGCTTCATTGCTTTCAGTCCAGCTGCATTCAGGCCTGAGGCTGCTGACACTTGACACCAGGAGCCGTTTTAATGCCGAGTGCCCGTTTGTACCTTGAGGAAGGAGCGAGCCTGGGGGATGGGGTGGAGGGAAGGGATGGGAGCCAGTACTGAGTGCCTGCAGCATCTACTATGTCTTCACTATTGAGAACTTGTAACTGAAATATTTAAAGAAACCGATTTTAAATGCAAATTAAAGGGCAAATGTTCGCAAACGGTGTTCTTGCCGCTTCTGTGTTCCTACCGGGGCTGTGTGAGTCTCCAGCACTGACTGCGTTCAAAGCCGCATAATGTGCCTCTGGTTACTCTGCCACGTCCCTGACTTTGGGAATACGGTAGCACGGTGCTGATCTGACAGCAGATGGAACTGTGGCTGTCGGCCAGGCAGGCGGGCGTCCTGGCTTCCTCCCAGTGAACCCCTCGAGCCTGGCAAGCCAGCTTGGAGGCCAGACTGGTTTCCACCTCTGTAAAGCCCCTTTGACACTTACGTCTTTGTGGGGCTTGCATTGTTTCTGGGATGGACTGGGGAGAGGTGGGACGACTCTTAAAATTTCACATTGGGACTAGATTGTCACAGGTGTACCGAGATGCTCCAGGTCAGTAAGCACCAGAAGGTGGGCTGCCTCCGGGAATGAGCGGCTGGGAGGGAGAACAGACAGGTGGGAGCTGACCTGGACCACCTCCAGCGGACAGGTATGATGGTCTCCAGGCTGCATACAGCCTGCTCTTTCCACACAGCCCCCCTGCTGGCCCCGCTGCCAGTGCTGCCGTCTCTGGGAGGAGGCCTGTCATGGGACCGCAGTGGCCCCCAGGGGTAGGACTAGCCAGTAGGCAGGGTTCGATGAAAGGAAGTTGGGATTTTCTCTCAGTCCAGGACCTGGTGCAAGGAGCTTCCGTTTCCTTAGTAAACCCACGGTGTCCCTGTGTTGTCAGGAGGCGGATTGGACGTTGCATGAGGGCTGGGTCCATGGTGTCCAGAACTTGGCCTCGCCAAGGGCCATGTGCTCTGTTGTGGAGATGAGGCCCAGAAGTTCCAGAAGCAGCTCCTACTTTATGCAGCGGGCGGTCTGGCCTCACTTAGGGAGTGTGGCAGAAGGAGCAGAAACTTTGGAACAGGCTCCAGGATGCCCTGCCCAGGCCCTGGCATTAACCTCTGAAGAGGAACCACCATCTCTCTCAGGGGTCACCGAGGATTAACACTGTTCTTCCCAGGCGTCACCATCCTCTTCCAAGACTGACTGCCCACGAAGCCCAGCGACCCCTGTGTGCCAGTACTTCCCCTGGGGCTCAAAGCTGCTCTGTGGGGCCCAGGCTAGCACGCGGGTCCGCCACCAGCCTTGCCTCCTTCCTAGTGGACTCCAAGCTCACTGTCGACTCATGGAGCTTCTCTGGGGGAGCCAGGAATGGTTCCCCTGCTCCCCCTCCCAATGAGGTGGCTCTCATTGCACTAATGAGGCAAGGACACCACGGGTGATGACATCAGGCTTTATTGGGGGCATGGGCAAGCCCCAGGGAAACCAGGACCATGCCAGGCCACGCTTCTCAGTGTCCTCTGCCCCAGAGCCACGCTGCCCTCCCAGGAAACATGGGTCCCTACCACCTGGGTTAGAGTTGGACCTTCACAGTCAGATGGAGATTAGTGTCAGGGGCGCCACCTGGTGGTGGTGCAGACACACTGGAGGCAAGGAGTTGGGGGCAGAGGTCTGGTGGAAGTTTCTTAGGTGCCGCACCCAGTGACAGGGTGAGTTCTGAGAAGATAGAGCCCCCGCGCCCCCCCGCCAAACCTGAAGAGGGGATTGTCTTTGGGGGCAGCTACTTACCCCCAGCTTTTCAGAGGCCAGAAACACCTTGTTTCTGGCTAAAAGCTTGGGCGATCATTCTGTGTGTGTGGTGGTTCATTTTAAAAGGGAATGAAGTCACAGTAGGCAGTGAACCAAGTGGACCCTCAAGACTAAAATGCCAAATAGTAAGTGGAAGAATGCCCCAGGAGGGAATTCTAATGGGTTCAAGTTAGCAGCTCCGCCTGAAGGCGGAATTGGGGTCTCCTCTCTGACCCATGGGGCAGGCTCCCCGGTCTCTGCGCCCTCCCGGGCTAGCTGGGGAGGGGGGTTCTCCATGCTGTTTCCAAATTGCCCTAATTGGCAAGGGTGTGCATTCCACCCTCTCCCCACCCCCTTCTCTGCTCTTCAAAGTCTGAAATCACAAGGTAGCGGGCATGGTCCAGAGGGGGAGTGGGTCACCGGGTCCCCGGCCTCAGGCCCACTGCAGACTGCCGCCCTGCCCCTCTCCACAGCCCCCGCAGGAGCGGCCTCTGGTACAAGAGGCCCACCAGTTACACGGCTAAGATGCCAGCCAGGCAACCCTGGTTGGAGTCCACTAAGCCAGCGGACCAGTATCCTGAGGTTTGTCTCCAGAGATGCCCCAAGTGGGGCACAGCATGGCAGGTCATGAGTCGCAAAACTTCAAGGTCGGCTCAGCAGGTGGCCAGCAGTCCAGGGCTACTGTGACAGCAGGCGCCCTTGAACCCACCTGGGGCGGGGTCTGCATTCGAGTTTGAGTGTGTACTCGACAGGTCGCCGCTGGCCGGTGGCTGGAGGATGGACTGGTGGAGGGGTCCGAGCTGCCCCGTAGGGTGAGAGACGGGTCCTGTCCCTCCCCTCAGCAGTGACTAGAAAGGGTTTCTCCAAAAGCTGGTGGGGAGACCCCTTCGCCCCTCCTGGGCCAGGGCGATGATCACTTAAGCGGCCCAAGGGAGGGGTCGGAGCAGGAGGCGCAGCTGCCCTGCATTCTCCGCAGAGGGCCACTGATGGGAGGGGCCGGCTCTGGGGGCCAAGAGAGGAGATCCAGACCAGTGCAGCCACTTCCATCGCCCACTCCGCTCCCTCTTACCCCACCAGTGTGCTCCACTGGACAGGACTGAAAAAGGGGTGGGCCTTGAGTCTGCTGACACCGCCTTTGCCAGTGCCCAGGCGCTGGCTGGGGTCGAACCGCAGGAGCTGCGGAGAAAGGCCCAGTCGGCGCCCGGCAGGCCTGCCCAGCCCCACTGCCGAGGCACGGGCTGCCCTCGGGGGACTTGTCACCGTGGCCCTGGGGACTCACCCCCCGGCCAGCCCTGCCACAGCATCCCCGTGTTACCCTGGGGACCATTGGTGTTTGGCCACCAACATGGAGACACTGGGAACCTCCCGCACCCTCATTAGCCACCTAGTCGCAGTGCGTTCGAGCACACACGGGCTCTGCCCTCCCGGTGCCCACCCTAAGGCCACCCAGCCGAGCGTGCCTCTAGCTGCCAACCTCACCTCAGTCAGCAGGGAGGCTGCGGGGCCACTGAGCCCCTCGGGCAGCTGGAGCTGGGTGTGGGGCTGGATCCCTGAGGGGTGGCTCTGGGACAGGGCCTGGGAAGACACAGGGAGGGGCCTCTCAGGAGGCAACCCCCAGAAAGTCTGCACACCCCAGCGCCAGCCGGGACTTTATTTGTCCCTGTGTCGCATCCCGAGGGGGCGGTGATACTGAGCCTCATCGCTGCCCTGCACTTTGGCTCTCCTGTGCGCCAGACCACTCTAGGGGCCTGACAGCCATCCTCCAGACTTGCCCACAACCCTCTGAGCAAACACAAGCATCTGCATTTGGAAGACGGGAAGCCGCTGAGAGAGACAAAGGGACCGATGCCGAGATCAGGGTTGGAACCCAGGTCCCTCTGGCTCCGAGCTCGCTGGAAGCATTGCTCTTGGGTTGCATTCAGGGGCAGGCACTTCAGGGAGAGTGTTGGAACTTGTCTCCTTAGAGAAAAAAGCATCATCAGGGGCCCCTCATTTGGCAGCAGGCATGGCCTGCTGCCGCCGGGGCCAAGGCAGGGCCGCGGTGAGGGAGGGCGGCAGGGCCTCTGCCCTCCAGAAGCGTGCGGCTTTGGAAGCAGGGACGTCTGTCTGGAGGTCCGGGTGAGCTGCAGGGAGCCACCCTCCAGGAGGAAGGCCAGAAGCTCCGGGCCAGCGAGGTGGTGGGGGACCGAAGCAGGAGGGAGCCGTGGTGGCCTGGTGAGACCTGGACTTCAGGTCACACTGCATCCCCTCTGGCCATTTCCTGCTGAAATGCAGTTTGGCCTTCTTGCCGCCTGACCTTCTTGACCTAACCAACCCCAGGGGCCACGCTGAGCTCGTGGGGCCCGACGGCGCACAGAGGCCGCCATCTGGAGCAAGAGTGTCTGCAGGGGAAACTCTCAGCTCTTGGCTGACCCAGGCTGGACAGGACAGCTGCCGGCCGGGATCAGGGACGCCCTCTCTCCTGTTCCTCTGCCAGAGTCAGAAGGTTGTGGGGAATGGGAAGCGGGCAGTGCAGGGAGCAGCTGAGGGGATGATGCAGGCACCTTTCAGGGGAGAGGGGCTGTGTCTAATTCTACCCCTAGAAACTGCCCCTGACCCTCTCAACTCAGCTGTCATCCACTTACATTGACTGTCCCACCCGCTACAGCCACTAGTATGGTGTGGGGCGACCAAGTGCCGTCACGGCCTGGGTGGCAATGGCTCCCTGTATCTCTCGTGGCCTGTGGGGGTCAGCTGGGGAGGGGGCAGCTGTGCTGGCAGGACATGTAGCCCCATAGCCAGGATTTAGAGAACCAGTCAGCCTCAGCCCGGACACCAGCTGGTGGCACTAATAAGCGCAGGCCACCCTGTGCTCAGTGACACCCACCAGGGCCCCACACCTGGCCCAGCTACTCACCGTTCCAGTCAGCAGTTCATACAGCAGAGACCCAAAGCTCCACCAGTCACAGGCTTCGGTGAGCTCGGCAATCCCACCCACCTCTGCGGGAGCAAGCACACGCACGAACGTCCCAATCTTGCCTGAGAAGAGGGTCTTCCCTTCACTCGTTCTACTCGGCCTCGGGCCAACGCCTCTAGGGTCCTGCCCCCTCACCCCGCCCCCGGCCCCCACTTGCCTGGAGCGCTGTAGAGGCCGTCCACAGCCTCCCTGCAGCACTGGGGCTCCACCTCGGACCACTGGCCAAAATATGTGAGCCGGATGTGACCTTCTCGTCCAGTGTGTGCCCGGGGGGGATGGAGTGGGGACAAAAACTTCATTCAGTCGTTGAGCAGCTGGCACTGGGGAGGGGACTCCAGGACTTCCCCCAGTAGGCACAAGGCAGGAGCCATTGGCTTCCCTAAGCAGGGCGCCCCTGGGGGCACGGAGCCCTGAGGCCCAAGGACAACTGGGTGCTCAGAGGAGCTGCTGCCCCGGACTCATGGGGGCGAAGGGGCTTGTCTCCCGGACTCAGCCTTGGTGACTGGGCAGAGTCCTGCGGGAAGAGGCTGGCAGGAGGCGGGGAAGAGGCAGGTAGCCTCTGCCATGCCCTTGACTTCGGGGAACTCTCCTTCTCTGTCTTGCGGCTTTGGGGCCCCCAGCTGAGGGGTGGGATAGGAGAAGGCAGCCCACTCCCCTCCCGCCAGGCCTGGACACCTACCTGCCTGGTCCAGGAGCAGGTTCCGGGGATTGAGGTCCCGGCACAGCACCCCCTGCTCGTGCAGCGCCTCCAGTGCCACCAGCATCTCGGCCGCCCACTGTGTGACCTGCTCTTCCCTCACACTCCAGGCGCCCCCGCCAGGCCCCAGGCTGGCCCTGTGCACTGAGGGGCAACTCTGACCTCTACCTCGGCCACAGCCCCCCAGCACCCGGCCAGCCCCCTCACGGACCCAAGGGAGGCCCCAAGGGGACCCCGTGTCTGAGTTCTGGCCAGGTCCTCGCCGGGACTGGAGGTGTAGGCGGCCACTTGGGGCCTTCGGAAGGTCCGAGGAGCAGGAAGTGCTGGTTCTGGCTGAGGGTTCACCTTTCTCCTCTCTCTGGGGTCTGCTGGATGGGGCCTCCCTGGCTGGGGGAAGGCTCTGACGAGTCCAAGGAGGCCCCAGGGGAACTCTGTCCTGCAGGCGGGTGTGGCCCGGGGGCGGCAACGCTGGGGTCCGGAGGCTGAGGTGGGCGTTGAGCTGAGCCTTCATCCTCTCCAGGCTGGAGTCAGGCCTGAGCCCAGATTGCTGGGGGCGTGCCTGGGAGAGCAGGTGGGACCAGAGCGTGCCTCCTGGGCCACGCAGAGGGAGCAGCGAGCGTGGGGACAGGGGAGAAGAAGAGCGTGGACACCAGGTCCCCCTCCCTCTGTGGCGACCCTCTGCCTTCCAGGTCCTTGCCCTGCTCTGCCCTCCCTGAGCCTTAACCAGGAGCGACCGCTCCTCTCCTCTCACTCAGAGAGCACCAGCCTGCCCGCTGGCACAGGGCAGGTGCTTAGCCCCTGGGGAGAAGGGAAGTATTGCTTACGTCCTTGGTTCGGGTGTAGTTTTACCAGTGTTCAACAGATTCCACACATATGTTTTAAAACATTTTAAGAGAGAATCGTATAATGAAGTTTAAGTAAAAGAAAAGGCGGCCAGGCAAGGACCTGCCATGACTGTACGTCATGACCAAGGATGTACACTTCATTAAAAAAACTCATCACCGTAAGAGGCGGTCAATAAATATCCGCTACGCGACCCAGTTCCTGTCCTTACAGCTTCAGAGCCACCATCCCACGTGGCCACTCTGAGGGACGGGCACAGACTAGAAAGCTGAAAAGAGCCCAGCCTGGAGGACATGGTGACAAAGGGGACATCCGCATAAATGCGCGCTGCCAGCCCAGGCTGTGAGCCTCCTCCCCGGGACACCCTGCCCGCTCAGCACCTCGGAGGCCCCCGGCAGCCCGCCCGGCCCCCCAGGCAGCCCGCCCCCCCCGACCCCCCCTCCCCCTGCAAGGCTGCGCCCCTGCTCTGTGCCGCACACCTGGCGCAGTCACCCCCTCCCTAGGTCTTGGCCGTTAAAGGAGGTGAAAGAACAGCACCCCACAGGCGCCCCACCTTGGATGTGCTCCAGGTGCAGGAAGATGGAGTCCTCACTCACGAAGTACCGCAGCAGCTTGGTCATGTAGGGGACGCCGTGCGGGATGATGGTCAGCCGCTCCCGGCTCGCCAGGTGACACCTGGACAGGCTCTGAGGAGGGGGCAGGACAGAGGTGGCTGTTAGGGGAGGTCAGAGCTCCAGCTGCAGGGGCAGCCGGTTGAGGGGCGGGAGCCCCGTGAGGAGCTGCTGCCTCCGCTCTGGCCCTCCCTCTGGCCCTGCCCTGGCCCTCACCTCTGTCTCTGCCGTGGCACCCAGGTCTCCACGTTCCGGGCCGAGGAGGACAGTAAGTGTGGGGTGTCTGGGAGGCCGGGCACATGCTCAGGGGCAAAGCAAGTGGCTTGGATTTGGAGGGACCATGGGCTTTAGATACAGGTTCTGGACAGGGGGTTCCCCAAAGGGTAGGAGTTTCCAAGAGCTGAGACAGTCCCAAGGGGAATGCAAAATGGCAGGGGGCTGGGCGGCACCTGCCTTCACCACGAAGGTCCCTCCAGTCGCTGGGTCCTGAACCAGCTGCACCTGCCAAGGTCCAGGAGGTATCGGTTAAGGCACATGCCAGTTCCCGGGGCTCTGTGGTCCTAGCCGCCCCCAGGCTCCTCCACTGAGGCCGACTTACTCCAGGGGCAGGGCAGGGGGTCTGGGGGTCTTACTCCAGACCCCCAAACTGACATCAATCCTGTCCTGTTCATTCACCCTTCTTGAACCTGCAGGTTTAGCTCATATGCCACCTCCTCCAGGAAGCCTTCCCAACCCTCACGTTGGGCTGGGGTCCCTCCTTTGTCTCCAGGGCTATCTCAGCTCCCCCTAGGGGAACCGTATCCCACTGTGTCTGACGCCCCGTCTCCCCACTGCACTGCGAGCTCCAGGAGGGCAGCAACCACGGCCCAGCTCTGTTTCCAAAGCCTGCACACCACAGGATGTTGTAGGCGCTTCACACACAGAGCGAGTGGTCCACCCTGCAGGGTCTGAGGGTGTCACACATGGGAATGACCTCCGAGCCAGTTGCCTCCTCTGATCTTTTATTTTACAGGTGAAGACGCTGAGGCTCGGAGAGCGTGGCCCCAGGCCACCCACGGGCCCAGCCATGCCCAGAGAGCCTGGGCCTGGCGTGCCATTTCACGTTGCCTGCCCGGCCACCCACTCCTTTTAGACAGTCCTTCTCCGGAGGCCGTCTTTGGAGAGCAGCCTGCTCCTGCTGCTGTTGGTTCTGGTTAGAGGCAGCGGTCTGCCAATCGATGGGGTGGGGCCTCGTATGAAGCTGGGCCCTGGACTGACTCATCCTGTGGTGGGCAGGGGCGGACCGCAGCCACGGGAGAGGGCATGCTGAGCACGTCAAGGCAGGAAAGCGGAAAACTCGGCCCAGATGTGGGGCGTGTGGGGGAGGACCCCCTGGCGGCTGGCCTGCCCTGCAGACACTTCCCATGGCGGTGGGTGGGAGCCCAGGCCGAGGTCGGGCCGCTGGGCTGCGGTGGAGCCTGCAGCCCTGGGTCGGCACAGGGGTGAGATCTCGGGCAAGTGATTTCCTCATCTACCAAAGAGCAGCTACAAATGCCCCGCTTCCCTCATCACTGGTTTGTTGAGGCCTGAAGAGGGAAGGCCCATTGTCAGTGTGAAGGCTGTGAGAATGCCCGTTACCACATCTGCCAAGACACACTACCTCTCTGAACCTCATTTTCTGAACTGCAAGCTGGGGTCTGGTATAGAGGTACCCCCAGCGGAGGTCACCGGGAGGCCTCGGTTAAAGCCGACAAAGCAAACGGAGTACACCCTCGATGACCTTCGGTGACGGTGACGATGACACCTCGCCCTGGCCAGAGAGCACTTCCTATATGCTAAGTGCTCTGCACAGATTCTTTAAGTTTGGTCCCACCTCCTAGGTGAGTGTTACTGCTGACTCATTTCCTTGATGAGCTTCAGAGAAGTTATGTTGCTACGGTCCCTACTCCTAAAAAGTGACACGGCCGGGATCTGAGTCCCAGTGGGCTGATCCGGGAGACCTGCAAACTGACAGGGGGCGATGGGGGGCAACGGGGGGCACAGCCCACTGACTTTGGCACGTGCCTTCCCCTCTGGGCCTCGGTGTCCCCATCATCCGTACACGGAAGACCAGACGAGGCCCTAGGGCCCTTCCTGCAGCGGGAGTGAGGGGCGCCTTCTGACCACCAGATGTCTCTCCTCCAGCAGCCAGAGCCAGCCCAGCCCGGCCTCACTCCTTCCCCACATCTGCACAGTGCTTGGGAAAGAACCTCCGGGGTCATTTGGGAGAACAGCGTTTCCCACAAGTCCTGATACATGGATAATTCCCCACTGCCCCTTGCCAAGTGGGATTCCCTATCACTTCGTCCTGGGCAAGGACCTACCATTCGGAGTCCAAACGCCGGCAGGGGAGAGAGGGGAAGTGAGAAAAGAACACTGACCAGCACACTGAAGCGAGCGGGTTAAACTATGTGTGTGTATTAAAGCCCACCTAGCTAGAAAGAATTAAGCCAAAACATGAACGGTAATTATCTCAGAGTTTGGAGGATGGTGGGGAATTTCTTTTTTTTCTGTTTTAAATTTCTCTTTGATGACATCTCAAAAGGGTGGACATTTTCCCACTAACCCAAGCAAACCAAAAATCCCCTTCCTCTTTTGCTCATTGCCATGGGGGACAGACCACCAACTGGCCACATGACCTCTGTGAACCTCACGCTCGTTCCCCGTAAGACAACGATTAAAATCCCGCACCATCCAGCAGGACTTTCTGGAACCTGAAGGGGACACGCAGCTGCGCCGTCCAGTGTGGAAGCCGTCAGCTCTGGGTGGCTGTCAGGCCCTTGCAACGTGGCTGGCGCAGCTGAGAAACATAATGCTTAGTTCTACTTCATTTTCATTAGAGCAGTCTCATGTGGCTAGTGACTCCCACACTGGACTGCTGCGCAGTGTAGCGCTCCTCTCCCTAGGGCGCCCGAGGAGGCTCCGTGCGGCACCTGTGCAGGCGGGCGGGCGCCTGACGGATGATGCGACTGGGCCGGTGGAAGGCAGTTCTGGGTGTCGCCTCTCGCCTTCTCAAAAAAGGGAAAAAAAAATTTTTAAAGGGCCCACTGAGTTCCTGGGAGGTGAGGACAATTAAAGCTTTGGTGAAACACATTAACCCTTTCTTTAAAAATGCCCAAAGTATCGAAATCCCAGGAGGTATCGTCACAGAGCAAACAAGCCCCAAAGGTTCAGGTTTGCAAAATCCCAGGTCCACGGCGGCCGGCTCCGTAAGCCAGGCGGGCAGGGCGGGACGGGAGCAAACCCGAGGGAGGGCCAGCCGCCTGCAGCAGGCAGCCCTCCTCCGCTCCCCGCCACTTCAAGGTAGCCTGAGCCAACATTTCCAGATCTCTTGATTTTTCAGCAGAAGCAGGGTATCTGGACTTATATGTGAAAACTGCCACCTTTCAAATGTTGGTAATTAAAAATGACAAAACAACAACATCCCTGTGTTTGAGCCAAAAAAAAATGAGAAGCGATTTGGAGGACCTTTTTCTTCCCCACCCTTGACTCAGAGTCTGGCTCCCGGAGGAGGCTCCCAGGCCCCTGGGTTCCCCGAGGGCTGACCCTGGCCAGCTGCCTACCTAGTCCCTGACCCACCCCCTCTGCTTGCTAGTACCTCTGCGGCCCCTAGAGACCCTCTCCCAGCCCAGTCGCCCCTGACCACTGGGCATCTCAGGTGGCCACTCAAGACTTCCTGAGCCAGCCCTCCCTTCGCCCCTCCCCAGCTCTCCGCCACCGTGGGCTGGCACTGCCCTCCCACCTGGATCTGCCTGGGCAGAGCTGTGGAATGGGACGCTGACTGCACACCTAGGCCGGGCTGCTGGGACCGGGGCCCAGTGTCCCTAACACCTCTCCTAATTTGGGGAAAGTGGTGCTCCTTGCTTGGGAATGACGCAGGAGAAGGAAGCAGGGTCTCAGGAGGGCGGTGGAGCAGGTAAACTGGATGCCCAAGAAAGGGTACGAGAGGAAAGGAAGGCCGTCTCAAGACAGATGGCTGCTTTCCATCTGCACAGGGCTCAGAGTGCTGGGTTCTGAAAACGCTTCGCACATGCGTGTCCTGGGACTAAACAATGCAGGCCCTTCCGTCCCAGACCTCCCGCTCCAAGATGCAACGTGTACATCTGCATCCTAAAAGCTCCCCAAATTCCTATAATTTAGAAAAACAAAGTAATGTTAATTTAAGTCACTATTTCCCAAACTTGTTTCACCTGGAAGGCCTCTCTCCACAGCACCCCTGGTTCAGCGGGACCCCAGGTGGGGAAATGGTGGTGGCGGTCACCTCGCCAGCCTGTCCATGCCACGTGGACCTGGCAGTGGGAAGGCAGGGCTGGCGGCATGGACATAAGCTGGCTGGGCCTTGCTGGCAGATGGGGCCCGTTCCAGGGAGCTGGGAGCAGCAGCTGGAGCCAGCCGGGGGATGGGAAGCCGGCCTGCCTGGTTACTAGCATTGGTTACTAGCATTTAGAGCCGTCAAACATCTTAGCGTGTGCCAAGTGTTTCCCCAAAATTATTTCATTTTCGTTCCCACAGCACCCGCGGGGGGAGGGCCCTCACCCCCCTGAAAGGCGAGGAAACGAGCACCCAGAGAGGCGAAAGGACGTGCCCTCGGCCTCATGTGCTCTGCTCGGACGGCACTTCGTCCTCCGGCGTGTGCGGACGCGCACACTGGCCTCCTTCTCTCTGGGGCCTGCAGGCCCATTGAAATCCCCACAAGAGTGTTTCAGTTACAGATTCCTGGCTCCGAGGGCCTGGAGTGGGGCCCAGGCATCTGTATTTTTGGGAAGCTCCCCAGGTGGTTCTGATCAACAGCCAGTTTGGGAAAGAACCGCTTCAGTGAGTACTCCGGTAGCCCTCGGCTGGGGCAGGGGACGGTTGAATATTGGCTCTGTAGACGAAAAGGGGGCCACACGGTAAACTGGACAAGCTCAGGGGAGGCCAGTCTTGTGGGTCCTACAAGCTCAGAGGCCCAAAGTGACCACAGAGGATGGCCTGACCACTGACACTCCTAACTGAAAGCGGGTCGTGGCGGGCGGGCATGTCCTGGGCCTACGGCCTCCTTGGCAAAGGTCAGTCTCTGCCTAAGTGAGCCGCAGGTCTTCGTGCCTCTAAGATAACATACCTTTGAAATGTCAGCGCGACCTCCTGTCCAGACCCCTCAGAGCACAGCCTCGAACCAGAGCGTGAGACCACAGAAGCCCTCGTTGTTGTCTCAGCCCCTGCACACCATCTCCGTGTGCTGCGCCTGTTGCTTCACTGCCCTGCAGCCGCTGGTGTGAAGCAAGGAGGTGTCTCTCTGGTTTACTTTTATCCACTCCCAGAGACGCCCCCGCTTTGCTCTCTCCCGCCTCCCTCATCCGTCACCAGGGAATTTCACGTGACACCTTTTTGTTTTCCCTTTTGAATCTGGCGCATAAAATAAGTGGTAAAACTGTCATTTTGGGGAACATTTTCTCAGTCCGTTGAGACTTTGCTTCCCGGCGATTGTCAGTGCGATTATCAAATAAAAGTCACAGAAATTCGCACAGGTTCAGACGATTCTTACATCGACGGCTCCAACCTCATCTGGCCCAACTGCCTGTCCTCCTGATTCCTCCTCTGTAACGAGTGTCCCGGGTGCAGGCTGGGATGTCAGTTCCTGTCTTCCTGTCTGCCCTGGGAAGGGGTCAGACGGGAAGGCAGGGAAATGAAGGGAAAGGGCCCCAGATGGGGTTGGGAGGAGGGTGGGGCCAGTAGAGAAGGGGCACGGCTGCTAAGGCCCGGGATGGTGCGCGGGCCAGTGTGGGTACTCTGCAGGGCAGGTTTCTGGAGATGAGCACCTTCCCGCCATAAGAACTTCTCAATGCTCAATGGGGGGACTCTGGGCTGCAGCTCTGGGGTGCAGAGTGGGTGCAGGGGAGGGACCCGCGGGAAGTGGGAGTGAACCAGGCAGAGCATGCTGCGCAGGATGCCCTGGGCGCAGCATCTCCTGTGGCTCCTGCCTTGAATCTCCAAGGGAGCAGTTTCCTGTGCCCGAGCTGGAGGGCTGTGTGTCGGGAGCTGACCAACAGCTGACCTTTGACACAGTCGGGTCGGGTGAGACCCGTCTGCACAGCAGAGGTGACTGTGGCCGGATCTCCTGCCTATCTCCTCCTGCATGCCTGTCCCTGCTAGCAATACAATAGGTGGTGGGATTTTTAGATACCTGTGTGTTATAACAAAAAACTATACGATGCCTCTGATTCTGTGCGAAATGACTTGCTGACCACAGAATAGAGACCCCTAGCAACCCTAATACTGCCTGCTTCCCCCACCTGGGAAGTTAAGGACAAAATTAAACTATGAGCAGACCAACTGCCAGAGCGCTGAAGGAAGCTGTTGCTAGGAATGTTTCTTGAGGAGTCACCACCTGAGAACTTAAGATTTATTAGAACCACTACCCTTCCCATACGATGGACAGGAGTGTAAAGAAGCAAGGAGTTCTAGTTGAAAATAATAATCTCAATACATGGAAACGAACACAAAACATGCCCCCCCGAAGATGTATAAATCAAAAAACCTAGGCAAAAAAACAGTTACCTAACTGAGACAAATTTAACCTCAAAAGACAATAGTTGATTTCTATATACCTATAAATCACCCCTTGCACCCTTTTAATTTAGACCAATCCTTAGAATCTTAATAGATACCTAGTTACTAATTGGCACCTGAAAGTTTGTGCCCATATAGCTTCGTTGGCTATCTGATTGACAACCCTCTTGGTCAAAATAACCTTTGTTTAATATGGTTGATCTGTGGGACCTCCTGTACTTTTCGGTTATTTCTTTGTTTAACATGATTGATCTGTAAAACCTTCTGTGTTTTTCGAAATTATTTCTATGGTAACCGTTTCTGTTTTAATAATCACACTATGCATTGAATGTTGTATAACCTCCCCTATAAAAATAAAGATTGATTTTTCTCGGTGAGTCAGTCAGGCTCAAAGAGCCTGGCTGTCCTCCAGCACCCCACCGGGCGTCTCGCTTCAGTCGCTTCGCCTGTGCCATGCATCCTTCGGGGACCCTGAGACCCCGCCGAGGCTGGACCCCGGCAGCTGTGGACAGGGGCTGTCTGCCACCTGCGTTTCTGGTTTCCTTTCCGGGACCTGACTGGCGCATGCTGGGGTAGGGAGGGATGGGGAGTCACCGGGCACAGCGGCTCTCTGACCCCTTCCCGTCCCCCTCTGAAGGACTGGGGGCAGCTGCTCTCCCTGCCCGCACGTCACCTCCAGTGGCACACACCATTTCCTCCCACACGGCAGGCTCTGATACTCACCTTCTCGATGACCCCGATCACCCTGCAGCCCCTCAGCTGCTCCAGGGCAGAGCTCAGAGTGCGGATGGGCCGGAGCCTCAGGCTGCTGAAACCCTGCGGAGGTGGAAGACAGGCCACACAGCCTCAGGGCCCAGCCTTCCTCAGCTCCTGCTTCTCACCAGGCAGTGGGCGGATCTCCAGCAGCCAGAGAGCACAGGGAGTGGGCAAGAACGGGGTACGGTCCAACCTCACCTCACAGGGGCAGGCTGAGCAAAGAAGCTGGTCCTGACCGAGGCGGGGGTGGGGCACACTGGTCCGGGCTGGCCACACTGCCCTCTTTTGCTTAGCCCCCACCCAGCCCCTCACCAAGGCTCAGGGAGTTCTTAAGGTTTCAGCAACTACCTTGTGGAGGCCCCATCTACAAGAGGCAGATGATCTCAGGGGTGGGGAAATAATCGGGGAACATGTGGATTCCAGGGAACCTGCCTTGGAGACCAAGGACCTTGCCTTGCAATATGCGGTGAGCCCAGGAGGGGCGTGCGTGCGTGCGTGTGCACACCTGTGGGCGTGAGAAGCGTGCATGCATTTTCCAACCCCTGTGAGTGCCCACCCGGTCAGGAAAAGCCATATGGGGAGAGCATATGTGCACGCCTATGTAGGCGTGTGTGTGCATGTGCACATGGGGGTATTTGCGTCTGCCCCACATACTCGCTGAGGCCCGTTCAGACACAAACAGATCTGGGAGCCCTGGAGGACGTACTCATGAGAGCTTGTGTACGAGCCATGTGTGGGGGCGGGGGGATGTGTGTGGACTCTGTGGGTGGGTGAGACTGGACTGGAGATGATTCACTAAGTGTTTGAAAATGAATGAACTCTGGAGGGTGTGGGAGGGAGAGGAAGCCAGAAGGAGGGGGGAGAGGCAGCCCCGGTACACACCCTTGCAGCCCTGCCCTGCAGCCCAGAATGTGATGACACAGCCCACCGGCCCGTTGGGGTGGGGGACTCAGCTCTCTCCCCTCAGAGCCCTCAGATCCTTGCGGTGGGTGGGGGGGTCTACTCACCGTGCCGGGGCTGGCCCCGCAGCCCAGTGTCCTCTGCAGGTGGCAGTTGAAGATCTCCTCTGCCCGCCGCAGGTACTTGGTGATTTTCAGCTTTACGGCCTCGCATCGCTCCTTGTTGGGGTCGACTGCGGAGGGAAGGGGTTTACCAGGACCCACCCCTGCCCCCACTCTGGCTGTGTAGGGCTGGGGTTGCGGCTGCCGTCGCCTGCCCTTCGCCCTCCACCCTCCATAGGACAGAGAGCCCATTTCCGAGGCTGGTCAGCGATTCTGACCCCATGTCTGTTCTTGAGCCCCTCCTCTGGGTGGAGACCAGTGGGGAAGGAGGAAGGAGGCTGACAGGAGAGGCTGGGAGCTACGGTCACTCGCGCCTACAGCACTTTACAGTTGGGACCCGCCACCTTGCTGGCAGCCATCACACCCTGGGGAGGGACAGTGTGGGGATTTCCACGTCCAGTTTCACAGGAGGAGACGGAAGCTCATCTCTGAAGCCCAGTGTGGAAAAGGCCGGAGTGGGGATCAGAATCAAAAGACAAAGGAAGTCGCAAGACAGGCCGACCGACGCCCAGGCACTGAGGGGTCTCATCAGTGGGAGGGCGGGGAGCATGGCTCAGAGCTCCACTCCCACCCCAGCCTGGCGGCCGCTTCGGGGCCAGCCTCTCCCCCAGGTTGGAAACGCCTTCCTTTGCCCTGAACAGGCCTCTCCCCTCACCTCCAGGCCCTCGCCGGTCTCCCTGGAGCATGGCCCAACCTTTCAGCTGGACGGTGTGCCTACTGTTCCTCAGTGCTCAGGTTAGAGTTGGACTTCTAGAAAACCCCCTGTGCCAGCTTGCCCTGGACTCAGTTTCCCTCCCTTCACTTCCTCCTCATTGCTCTTCGTACCGGGGACTATGACTGTCCATCATCAGTTCATCGGGCTCCTCCCCGTGGGTGCAAACCTGCAGAGGGCAGGGTGCAGCCCAGCTCCAGGGCCGGGCCCGCAGCGTGGGTTAAGCACACTGCCTCTGGGGCCCAGCTTTGCCACTTGGTAGCCAGGGAAACTTAAGCGAGCTATGTAACTGCCCAGTGCCTCAGTTTCCTCATCTGGAAAATAGGAATAAAAATTGTGCCTACACACTTGGAACGACATGCAACAACACATGTACTACTGTCTTCTTTTACCATGAGGCCCAAATGGGCTAACACAGGTGAATGAGTAAACACAGGTAAACCAGGGCCTGGCGTGCAGGAACTGCTCAGTAAACACTGGCTATTATTATCGTCTCTCACAGAGGCTCCGTCGGCCGTTCACCCAGCACGGATGGACAGACGAAGGGAGGAGCTCCCGGTTGGCCCCTCCCACCAGCCCCTGTCCCCGCCCAGCCCGGCGCTCACAGGGCATGCCTCGCAGCAGAATGTCCACGCCGTTCTGGTAGTGGTTGAAGGCTGCCTCGTAGTCCTCACTGACGTCACGTTCCAGGGCCAGCCGGATCTGCGTGGCTGCATCCACCAGGTAGTCACGCTTGGTCACGTCAGGTGCTCCCGGGGCCACCCGGGTGCGAATCTGCTCCAGGTACACCCGGGCCTGGGACTGCGCTCGTGAGCAGGGCTTGGGCTCCTGCCCAGGGCCGGGCGGGCACTCGCAGGCCACCAGGCTCATGGCTGCGGCCCCGCAGGTGAGACCTGGGAGTGAACGAATACATTAGGGAGGGTCCAGTTGGGAACGATACCCCACTTGCAGCCTGGTTTCCTCCAGTAAATATTCAGAGACTAACCCTCACCTCCAAGGACTGGAGGGTCAGAGCTAGTATGGGTCAAGTCCTTTCACGGAGCCAGGTCTTTCCTAAGGGGTGGTAATAGAATAACAGCGTGCTTGGAGCTCCTTCCTTTGACTCAAATTCAGTTCAGCAAGTGTTTCTCAGGCACTTACTACGTGTTGATGTGGGAGACCCAGAGTTACCTTCACGAGGCACAGAGCAAATTGGCGTCTAGCACACGGTAAACATATAAACACACAGAGCCACGCAGTCCGAGGCAGGAGCCCCGGGCTCAGGGGCCACTCCTCACACCGTCCCCTCCACCCTGCCTGTCCCCCCAACCTGCTCCTCCAACAGGAACCTCAGTCCTTCATGGTTCAGTTCCAACCAGGACGGATGGCCCCTTTGTTTCCCCCAGTGCCCAGGGCAGTGTGGTCAGGAGGGGGGACTCCCACAGAGCCCAGCAGAGAGCTGGGCACAAGGCCAGGCCCTTAAAGCCTGTGGACAAATGAAACGACTGAGTGGCAGATTCTGGGTAGACTCAGAAGGAGGGCAGGGCCGCCCCAGCCTTTGGGGGAGGATGGTTCTGTCCTCCTGGCTTTGTCTCTGAGGCCAGGAGGCCACGTGGCCTCCAAAGACCTGACAGCAGCTCCTTCCTCAGCCGTGTGTGACACAAGTGGCCAAAGGGACTGAGAAGTGGCTGCTGCAAAGGAAAGGGCTCAGCGAGAGGCGGGCAGAGCTGCTCGGCCCCTCAAGGCAGGGGCACCTCTGCCTCCTCAAGCCCCACTGGGAAGGGGCGGGGCGAACTTCCAGCCGCAGACCACATCTGCCTCTACAGAGAACGGGAGGAGAGAAGGGGATGGGGAGTGGGGCGGGAGGGAAACCAACATCCCAGGGCCAGCGGGGAGCTGTACCCTGGCCAGGATGTGGCCAGGAGGTGAAGGGACTTGGTCCGGACATGCCGCCCCGAGCCCGGTGTTGGGGGTGCCAAGGCCGATGGGCTGGGCTGCTAGAGTCAGGCCCCGCCTTCAGGGGCCAGCCCCAACCCCCCGGCCGGGGGCTGCAAGAAGAGAGCCGCATGGCTGCTCCCCCCCCCCCCCCCCCACACTCGGAAAGTGGTACGTCCAGCCCGTGAGTCCCAGGGCGCCAGGGGCACCGCCCGCAGGGGTCTGGCCAAGGAGGTGGGCTACGGGAATGAGGGGAGGGGCACCCTCTCCTGGGGCGGGGAAGGTGAGGAGCCCGGCAAACACAGTACCTGCCGGAGCCAGAACTCAGACCGCGTGGCCAAGGTGCCGCCGCTCACCCTTCACCTCCGCGGGGCACCGTGCACCGCGGGGCCCGGGCTTTGCGCCCTCCAGCCAGGTGCAGGCTTCTGGCCCGGTGCAGCCAGCCATTGGCTGCAGATGAGCTCATCCTCCGTTAGAATAAACCACCAATCGGTGCCCAGATCGGCTTCTGCCGGCCCTTAAAGTCGCAGCGTCTGCGGCTCAGAGCCGGGGCGTGATGGAAGGGGCCAGGGTTGGGAGAAGAGCGTCTGGCGCATACTATTGCGCAATAAGTATTTGCTGAATGAATGAATGAGCTCTGAAAAATGAGGAGGAATTGACTAAGAAAAGTACTTGGAGAGGGCAGCCCGAGGAGAATGTTCTGGGCAGAAAAACACGTATAAGTGCCTCAACAAACTAAGGGAGAAAAATAACATCTGTGCATCAGAGGACATAAAATCATTTGATAAAGTTTAACACTCATGAATGATACCGACAAACTCTTCACTTAACAAAATCTAAACAAACTCAGCCCTGGCCCAGTGGCTTGGGGCTGGGGCGTCGTCCCACACACCGAAATGTTGCAGGTTCCGTCTCCAGTTGGGGTGTGTAAGGGAGGGAACAGACCGATGCCTGCCTCTCTCTCTCTCTGTCTCTCTCTCTCTCTCCAATGAACATATCCTTGAGTGAGGATTTAAAAAAATCTAAACGAATTCATGAATTTACTCCTTAGCTTGACAAAGGGCGGTCCACTGGAAAGAGCATGCATAGCGAAGCCTACAGCGTGTGCGGTGGTGGAGCGCTGGAAGCATCCCCGGTCCTGTCGTCCTTCTGCTGGGCGGCGGGGTCACCCTGCTCTCGCCCCCGTGGAAGTTAGGCTTGGCCATGCAAGTTGCGTTGAAATGCTGGTGGGCAAAACATGAGTGACTTCAGGGCAGACTCTCTGAAAACCAGTCCGTAATTCCCCTGCCCCTTCCTTCTGTCACAGTTTTCATGGGAGCACGTGTCCATGGAGACACAGAGCTTCCGTCAGCCGAGTCTCTGAGAAACAACAGTAAAGAACTCCTCCCTGCTCCACGGCTTGTGTTGGGCAGGAGGCGTGAGTGAGTAACGAACTTTCATTGGGTGAAGCCACTAGATTTTGGGGTTGTTTGTTACTGCAGCACACCTTGACCTGTCTCGAATGATACATCCCAGAAATGAATCAATAAACGCTTCAACGATACGCTGGCAGTTACACTTAGTGCAATAAGACATTAAAAGCAAACTAAAGGTTTAAAAATTGGAAAGGAAGAGGCCAGATTGCCATTATTTGGGATGATGTGATTCTCTACCTGGGAAACCCAGAGCAACAACTGGTGAGTTCAGCAAAGTGTCAGGATGTTAGACCAATATTCACACATCAAGAACTTTCCTATAGCCCTGACTGGTGTGGCTCAGTGGCTTGTCCACAAACCAGAAATTTGCTGGTTTGATTCCCTGTCCGGGCACATGCCTGAGTTGCAGGCCAGGTTGGGGGAGTGCAAGAGGCAACCAAGTGACGTCTCTCTCACACATGGATGTTTCTCTTCCTCTCTTTCTCCCTCCCTTCCCCTCTCTCTAAAAATAAGTAAATAACATCCTAAAAAGAACTTTCCTATATATCAGCAATAACAATTTGAAAATGTGATAACAATTTTTAAAATCCCACCCACCATAGTCACAAAAACTATGACATATTTAGGAATGCAGTAATTAGAAATACATGAAAATCTTTCTTTGTGAAGAAAACAAAAAAATTGTATTGAAAGACAGAAAAAGACCCAAATAAATGGAGAGCTGTATTGTGTTCGACAATGGTGTGACTACCACTGTAAAGATGTCAGTTCTCCCCGAAGTAATTTAAAACTTCAGTGCGACGCCAATCAAAATACTACCCAAGGGACTCTTCATGGGACTCAGAACAGGATGCTTCTAAAGTTCATGTTTATTTATTCACTTAACAAAACTTTTGGAGGGCCTGTTATGGGTCTGACCCTTTGCTAGGTATTGAGGTTATGCTGGTGAGTAACACAAAGAAAAAAAGCTTTCGTGGAGCTTTCATCCTCATAGAAAAAAACAATAATAAACACACAGACATATAGATACGTGCTATCTCGTGATTTTCATAGTGTATGTGAATGTGCAACAATAGCCCTTTGAGAAAGAACAAGCAGTGAGGTCAGAAGCTTGCCTTACCAGTTCAAAAGACGTGTTATGAAACTGCAACTTTAAAACAGGCGGCACTGGTGCACACACATAGATGACAAGGATAGAATAGAATTAGAAAACTGACCTAACTTTTGTGGAAAAATTAATCCCTACTTCATACCATATGTAAAAATAAATTCAGGTTTACAATTCTAAATTTAAAAAAAAGAGTACAACCACAACTTTTAGAAGACTATCACCATTTAAAAAATATAAATGGCATCATATTATAGGTAGCATTTGGAAGCATACTTTAAGTAAAGAATATCACCATAATCTTCAGGTAGAAAGTGCTTTTTTAATATTCCTGATGGGGAGGGATATGTAAATCAGTGCATTTTGGAGCATGATCTATCAATTTTACTTCTTGATATTTGATCTATAAAGCCACTTTTTTAATTATTGCAGCAAACCTTGGGTGTATAAAAATATTCATTGCAATATTGCTTATAATATCAAAATTGGAAGGGATTCCAAATGTAGTATCTATGGAATATGAATATTGAAATTAATTAATAAAATGTGATATATTCATACAGCGAATTATTCATCTGCAGCATTTTGAAAGAATGAGCCAGAACTAAACCTAAGTGTATGAACATGCAGGATCTCAAAAACATATCACTGAGTAAAAACAGTCAGTTCCCAAATGCTACCTGCAATATGATGCCATTTATATTTTTTAAAAACACAAAACAATACTCTATATAATCTATGTATTACAGTGTATTTGGATTCTCCAGACAGACAGACAGACAGACAGACAGATTTCTTATATAAGAAATAAGGCTCTCCCTGACCAGTGTGGCTCAGCAGGTTGAGCGTTGTCCCATGAAGCGAGAGGTCGCCGGTTCAGTTCCCATCGGGGCACACGACTGGGCTGTGGGCCAATCCCTGGTCAGGGTGTGTGCGAGAGGCAACCAATTGATGTTTCTCTCCCTCTCTTTCTCCCTCCCTTCCCCTCTCTCTAAAAATAAATAAATAAAATCTTTAAAGAAAAAATAAAGAGATAGACTTGTGAAATTATGGAGGCTGAAAAGACTCAAGACCTGCCCTTTTACAAGCTGGGAAAAACAACAACAACAAAAAAACGCTTTTCGGCTGCCTAGGAAAGCCTAATCACTTACCATGGAACATCTTACATAATTTTTTTTAATCTTAAAACTACACTATTAGTTACTATTATAATTTTTTTAAGTTTATTTTTAGAGAAAGGGAAAGGAGGACGAAAGAGGGAGAGGATAATTGACGTATGAGGGAAACATCGGTCAGTTGCCTCTTGAACACCTCCAACTGGGGGCGGATCTGGCCCGAAACCCAGGTATGTGCCCTGACCAGGAATCGAACCCATGACCTTTTGGTTTGTAGGACAATGCCCAACCCACTGAGCCACATGGGCCAGGGTTAGTTACTATTATTAATCCTTGACAACACTAAGACAGAGAAAGGTTAAGTGATTTGCTTAAGCGAAGTAAAAGCACTAGGAATCACACCTTGACAGTGTGGCTCTGAAACCCAAGCTCTGAACCTCTAGGCTGATGGCACTGTGCTCCCAACAGCGGGCATTACCCAGGGAGTGGAGGCAGGGGCCTGGACTTGGGGGAGGGAGCAGGCAGTGGTTGAACAAAGCTCCACAATTCCCCTTAATCTTCTATGTTTTTAAAGAACAGAGTGAATTGGTATATATATTTGTGATGTTAAAATTGCTTTTAAAAATTATATGTTAAATTATATACATGTAATTAGATGATTATTTTTTTCAGAATATATCGCTCAGTGCAATGAGGAAGCAGACAGTGCTTCATGAGCTTCTGAGGTGCACTAGACCCAGTGTGATAAAGAGGGATGTTTGGGATTCTTTCCTGAGGAAGTGCCTTTGAGCTGAGTTACCGATGATGCAAGTCTGTTAGTCAGCAAGGTTGAGAGGTTGGGCGTGGGAGGTGGGGAGGGGTTTCCTGGCAGAGGAAATAGCATGAGCAAAGGTCCCGAAGGGGCAGCACCAATTTCAGAAACTAGGAAAAGATAAATGTTAGATTTTAGAGACATGAGCATGAGATAAGACTGGAGAAGTGGGCAGTGGGCAGATCTCATGGAAGCTTCCAGGCTGAGGAAAGGACTGGGAGTCTGATTCCAAGAACACCAAAAATTCTGAGGGGCACCATGGAAATCTCTGGGATCACTTTTGCAGGGCTGTGTTGTGGCAGTGAGCAGAAATGCCAAGGAAGAAACCGCAAGCGTAGACACCTCTCAAATGCCCAAGAGCAAGACAGGGGGGCACCGGGAGGGAACATGCTCCATTGAGGGATTGTTTGATTTTTTTCCTCTGTTGTTATTTTTATGATGGGAGAGACTTCTACACACAAAGACGTATCCACAAGGATGTTCCTTGTAGCATTGTTTATTATAATGATAACCAAAAAAGAGAACCTAAATATCCAACAACATATCTAATATCAAATTATGGGATAGCCGAATGATGCAATGCATTTCAGTACTTTAAAAGTCATATTGTAGGAGGATATCTAATGTCATGGAGGAAATGTGTACAATGTATTAGGTTTCAAAGGCAAGTTGTAAAATAACAAGCATATTATAATCTCACTGTGGTGTCAGAAGGGAAGAGTATGCCTGTCTCCTTCAGCTCCTCCGTTCTTCCTGCCTTTGTGCCCAACGGTGGGAGGAAGCAGTCTTTTGACATAACACAGCGTCATAAAAGTTATGCCAAGAGAAGTGATTCACTTTACCAAAAGAGAGGTTTGTTTGTCTTGTGGATGCTTTACGTGGGCCCAGGATGGGGCTGGGATGTTAGGGGAGGGGAGAGGGATAAGAAGGAAGCGGCTTCTGGCCCCAGCACAGGTCAAATTTATACCAAAGCTGAAA